CCAGGAGCGCTGGCCCCGGCCCCTCAGAACCGCTCCACGACCCCGGGCTGGAAGGGCCCCAGCGCAGCCAAGCAGGCGGTTTTGGGGGGAAGCCGGCGCCCCAGATGGAGCTGTGACAGAGCCCCTGCAAACTCGTCACCCCTGAGAGGGGTCTGGCCCCAGGGGTGCATCGCCCAGCCCCAAACGAGGAGTGGCAGCCACCCCTCACTGCAGAAGACAGGAAGGGGGCCATGAAGCAGCAGCCCAAAGCCTCCCTCCAAGTGTGTCCCGCAGGGGTAGGCCCCTGGCACCCAGGCCATGCTCGGCCCTCCCCCCCAGCAGGGCATCACCCATCACCGCAGAGGGCAGGACGCTCCCATTAACCTCCTTAACTCACTGCTGGCAGCCAGGGAGCTCCAGCCCAGGGGCCTGAGGCACCTGCTGAAGCAGGCCCTGGTACCCAGCATCTCCCCCAAGTCCAGTCACAGCCCCAGGTCCCCCCAGGGCCAGGCTGAGTGAGGCCAGGTCCAGCACTGCAGCCCTCCACACCCTGGAGAAGTCATACAAAGCAAAGAGCACAATAAGGTTTAGTTTTTTTTTTGCTGCAACGTGTTTATTATGTGCCAAAAACTACACCACAGCTTACTCCAAACGTCTGCAGGAGAGTGCAGTCTTGCCTGCATATACTACAATGAGGTAGAGACTTCACACACAGCTTCACGAAACCCCACAAAGAGCAGCTGGGATATGCAACGATGCAACATCAGCTCAGCAGGAGGAGAAAAAAAAAACACAAAAGAGGGAGAAATTATGACACTGGTTCTTTGGCACACAGCTTCCGATAGAGGGGAAAGTAAACAAAACAATTTGAAGTTCTCAAATCCCAGCAGCATTTAAGTCGACTGCACCGTTACTCCACACATCTCAAAGGAAAGGAAAAGAACTTGTCCCCTCTAAGAGCAAGGGCTCCTATGAACCTTCATCTGTCCACCGAAACGCAGCCCTTTTATAGCTAGTTACAAAAGAAAAGTTCAGTCCTGTGACTTTGTGTGATTAAAAACCTCTATCACCCCCCCTTAAGTGCAACTTAAAAAAGTGCAACAAACTATTTAAAACTATATACAGCAGCTCAGAGATCATTTATCCGGTCCAGTTTCAAATCCAAAAAAGCCTGTCCTGTTCTGTTGCAAACCCCTCGATTTACAACTTTCCACCAGCAGCCCCCAGACACAAATTGCAATAATGTTAAAAGCTGCCAGGAAAGAAAAAAATCTCTCATTTCAAACGACTTAAAAATTGTTTAAGAGTGTAAAAAGGAACTGGTAAAAACCCTCGAGCGTAAAATATGAAATATGATTTGGTTTAAATGAAGAGCAAAGTCTCCTTGTTGTTACAGTAAAAAACGCCAGCTGAACATTCAGTTTATGCCGTTCAGATGGGGGTTAAATGAATGGAAAGGCACTGTATGGCAACTGCAAAAAAATGGAGCCAATGAGACCTGCATTATTACCATCAGTATTGCAAGGAATGTAAAAAAGCGCCTTTAATAAATAAAAAACCTAGGTGAAGGCATCTGCATAAACACCTTCTCAACACGTGGCCCTTTTTTTTTTTTGCTTCTTGTCAGCAAACTAGGAACCAAAGTCTGGGAACTGCAGAATCGCTTGAGGGGTGCTCCCCCTCCTCAGAAAACCCCCAAACAAAACCTAACAAAATTCACTGTGCATTAGTGCAGAAACAAAAAGACCAGCAAGTGCAAACGTGAATGTAAGATATTTTTTTTTTCCCCATTAGTCCTCAGGAAGCGCGTTCCCAGCCTGGGTCTGGCACCAGCAGGCACGCTCGTGCGCTCTCCACTTGGCAGGTTAACAAAAGGACTTTCTTCTGCACCTGCAGCAGCCCCCGAGCTGCGGCGGCCCCCTTAGCTGGAGTCTCTGTTCTTCTGGTTGCGCATCAGCGGGCGGTGGTGACGCAGGACCTCCATGGAGTGCTGCCAGTGCCAGCAGGAGCGACAGAAGTACTTGAAGCAGATCTGTGGGGAGAGGAGAGAGGCAGTGCCGTGGGGCAGGGGGTTCCAGGCATCCCTCCTCCCTCCCCAGTTTTGGCAGCCCACACCAGCACAGCGGGTGTTTGAGGTGGAGGGAGGGAATTCCAGCAACACTGCCGGAGGCCATGTTGTGCTCAGCTTCCACCCCTGGAAAAAGGTTTGAGAAACCCACAGGCTGGGAGCGGCCTCCTCAGGGAGCTACAGGCAGGGGCTGTGGCACCTCTGCCCGGCACCCAGACAGGGGACAGGCTCTGCCAGCACTTCCAGTGGTCCCAGCAGCCAGCGTCCCCCGTGCTTTGGGCAGCTCCAGGACCAACCGCAGGGTGACGGCACTCCAGCCTCCAGCTGGCCACAGCCTCCCCTCGGGGTCAGCCCACCGCAGGCCCCGGCCCTCTGGCACAGCAGCATTGGAGCCGCAGCATCCCCAGCTCCAGGCGGGGGGAAAGCTGCCTTTGCCTCCTGGTGAGCACCAGAGCTGCCCCTCCTCCAACACGAGGGCCCAACTGGGGCTCTTGCACTACCACTTTGTCCTCCCCACCGAGCAAGGGACAACGGGCACCCCCAGACAAGGGGAGCATTGCTCTGAATAGAGCCTGCTCCTCCTTGAGGACTCCTCCCGAGTGCCACAGCCAGGAGCCGAGCACGGACAGCAGGGAAAGCTGTACCTGGTCTCTGCAGAAGAATGGGCCGGGCTGAGCGCTGCAGATTTGGCACATGGAGTCTTCCAGGTATGGGTCGATCTGAACCTGCAGGAGAACCAGGCAGTGGGCATGGTGTGGTGCCAGGGCTGACTGCCCCACACCCTGGGCAGCCCCTGCAGTGCCGACCCACTGCCCTGAGTACCCCAGATCCATCACCAGCACCCCCTGCAGCAGGCGGAGCAGCAGTTCACCACCTCCCCCTGCTCTCACAGGGACATGGGGCAGGCCTCGCAGATCGGGGTGCTCCCAGCAGCACTACCCATCACACAGGTTCCACCCCCAGGCTGCCCCATCAGCTCCACTCACCTTTTTCGTAAACTTGGTAGTTTTGATTTCCACAAACGCAGCAGTCACTGCCTTCAGGTAGCTGCGCTGGTTGTTAAAGGTGACACGGCCAGACCCTGGAACAAGCCAGAGCCCAGGCGTCAGGCTGACCCAGCACGTACAGCAGGATCTGGCAGAGGCCGAGCACATGCTGCTGCCAATAACACCCCTTCCCTCCACAGTGCAGCCACTGGCAGGGAAACCACATCCAAAGCCTCCTGGCTCTGCCTGCCTCCATCCATGGCAGTAACAGAAGCCCAGCACGCAGCTGGGTGCAGAAAAGCTTCTTCACGGACACCTCTAGTCTGGTTCGGACACGAGCTGGCAAACAGCGGCGCTCCCAGGAGGACTGGCAGCAGCCGGGCAGCAGGAGGGGTGCTGCCAGGGCACTGCTGAGGGCAGCACAGCAGCAGGCTCCGCACCCGCACCTGGAATAAGCTGGGGCCGAGACAGCTCAGCAGCTTTTATTTTAAGCCTCCCATTCATCCCGGAACCTTGCATTTTGCAGCTTCGTTGCCAGTCAGCAGCACTCCTGCACCACTCGTTTCCAGCCAAGTTTTGTTAAGCTCCAGGAAAATGTATCTGTGCTTACTTACGAGTCTCCCTCCTCAGTGCAAGGGGAGTGTCGGGTTTACACGATGGTCCTGCACATGGGCAGACTGCTGAAGCTCAGCTCGCCTCTGACAGCCACAGCGCAAAGCATTACCCAGCACCCAGCCACTCCTCCCCTGCAGCGTCACGCAGGACGCAGGCCGGAGGGCCTGGATCTGGTTCAGGGTGACACTGTGCACAGGGATGGCAGCGCACGCAGGGGCGCCTCTCCTCCCAGGGAGGGTCAGCTCCATCTCCCAGCAGGACCTCCCAACAGCCACGCGGGCACAGCTTGCTCTGCTGACCAGGCTGGTCTCAGAGGCAGCTGTGCACAAGGACAGTCAGACACCGATTTCTACACCACATGCCTCCAGGAGGATCACCCTCTACCCAAGATGACGCAGCACAGGGCAGCTTATACACAGTGGTCTTCCCTTGAGGGGCCTTCTGCAAACCAGGAGCAGCAGTCAAGCAAGCCTGAGGCAGCAGCTCAGCACAGGAGATGCTTCCATCAGCAGCGAACAATAAAATTAGTGTTATTTAGTTGCCAAAATTGAGCTAATTGCTGCAATTCTTTTAATACTGCTTCAAGGGCAGAAACG